CGGGTGGGGTAGGCCTAGGCTGTCTTGGGGCCTGACACTGGCAGATTACATGACCAACTTTGCCATAATTGTAGCAAATTGGTGGTTCCCTACTGTGTCCAGCAAGGGAGTGGATGTGTCCCCTTAATTGTGGACACTGTTGTTTCCAATTCCCTGCCAACATACCCTTGGGGCTGCACCATTAGGCACAGGCTTATTAGGACAGCTTTAAATACCTTGGGGGGCAAAACCATTCTGCAGCATCAAATTCAATGATGCTATCAACAAGCTCCTTAACAGTGAGTCTTTACCATTTGGGATGGGCACCCTCAAAAGTCAGTGAGGCATCTGGGGTAAGACTATGAAGTATCAAATTGATGAACACATTCCTCTAATGTCATCAGAGACTGGGAGGAAACATTCCTCTCTCCATCACTTCCGAAACCTTCTGGCAAAAGTGCTGGGACCCTTAACTGGCTTTTGTTTTCAAGCCAGGGCTCGTGCCATGCTTTGCTTATCACCCATTTCTCCACTAAAAAAATCTCTTGCAAGGCCTTCCACTTATTCTCAAGGTCAATACTACTTGATATATGGTCCTTGTGAGAGACTTTCTGACTGTGATCTAATCAATTCTTGGTTCAAGTTTTTCAATCTCTATCATCAGTACTCATAATAAGGTTCAACAACATTATATAGTCATAGGTAAATATCCTGCAGTGGTCCTCTTGAGATATGTAATGGCTGATGGGGGCTGTTTGACTGGGCAAACTATAGCCTGAGTCGTCATCTGATTCATGTCTGGGGGTTTAACTACTTGATTACCTACATGCATACATGGTGCTTTCACACCTCTATCAGTCTTAAACCTTTCATTTCTAATTCTCAGCTTATACTTCCTTACTTCTCATCTTTACTACCTGTAATATCCTTCAAATATGGATACATACTCTTGGATGTCTTGCTTTTAGAGATCAGCATTCTTAGCTCCTGTAGACAAACAGTAAGGGAGAAGAAGTGGGTCAGACACACAAGATAGTGTCTTCTGCTTTTCCTCATCCCTCATTCATGCTAGTAAGAGGCTAGAATTTTCAACACCCTGCCACAATTCTTCATATAACCCTTGTGATTGTAGTCACCATCACCTGGAGTTTCATAAAGACACTTTATGTAAGATGTTGGACTACACCTATGTCTAGGTCACCCTGTACCCATTATATTGTTGTTGTTTTTTTTAAATATTTTGCCTGCTCTCCTGCACTGCTGAGGATTGATACCAACTTGGTGGATTTGGCCATGGAGCCTGTATAGCACCCTCTGTTTGTAGAAACAGTAATATGTACTTTCTGAATAGCAAGGCTGGTTAATTTGCAAATTGCTAATTCTGCAGGCAGGAGAGATATTTTGTGCTGTTATTCTCTTCCCTATTCCTTTATAAATATGTTATTATGCTTTTATAACTTCCTGTATATTTTGTTTTGTTTATTTAAATTTTATTATGTTTTTCACAGCAATCTAAATGTAATGATCATATGGGCTAGTCCCTAGTAAAATAAAGTATTGGATGTTAGTCCAATACTCGGACAAATCAGATGCATCTTATAAAAGATATAAGGATGCAAATAATGCGTGCAAAAAGGCAATTAGACTTGCTAAACTTCAAAATGAAATAATGATAGCTGAAGAGAGCAAAACCAACCCCAAAGCATTTTTTAAGTACATAAATTCTAAAAACAAAACAAAATGAAAGTGTAGGTACACTAAAAACTGAAACGGGGGTGTTAATTAATGAAGACCAGGAAAAGGCAGGAATTTTAAATAACTATTTCTCCTCCGTATATATTAAGGAAGAACCCATGGCAATAGATGTGCAAATGATTGCTACTAAAAACTTGCAGAATAATTGTAATTGGTTAACTCAAGACAAGGTGCTGCAGCAACTAAAGAAAGTTAATATAAACAAAGCTCCAGGGCCTGACGGTATCCATCCACGTGTACTTAAGGAACTAAGTGCAGAAATAAGTGAACCTCTGTTTTTAATCTTTCAAGATTCTTTTCTTTCAGGAAGTGTTCCGGAGGATTGGAGGAAGGCAGATGTGGTTCCTATATTCAAAAAGGGTTCAAAATCCTTGCCTGGAAATTATAGACCTGTGAGCTTAACTTCTGTGGCTGGTAAAATATTTGAAAGGTTATTAAGGGCAGGGCTCGAGTCCTGCAGGAACGCATGGGAACGGCGTTCCTGCACTTTTTCCATAGCAGGAACGCCGTTCCCGTTACCTGTCCTGCAGGACCGGCCCTGCTACCTGCACTGAGGGGCCATCACATGCTGTGTTCCTTCTCCAGCTATAACTCTCGCGAGACCCGCGGCTGTTACCATGGCAACGCTCCGCACAGGCGAGTCTCGCGAGAGTTAGAGCTGGAGAGGGAACACAGCGTGTGCTGGCCCCTCTGTGCAGCGGCTGCCTCCCTCCAGCATACCACCGGACCACTAGGCGATCTCCCCCCTCCCTGACAAGGTAAGAAGCAGGGAGGGGGGAATAAAATAAAAAAATATAGACACATAAAGTTAAAAAAAATGCTTTTCCCCCCCCCCCACACACATCATCCAGCACTCACACACCCATCATCCAGCACTCACACACACATCATCCAGCACACACACACACATCATCCAACACTCACACACCCATCATCCAACACTCACACACACACATCATCCAGCACTCACACACACATCATCCAGCACACACACACACACACATCATCCAGCACACACATCATCCAGCACTCACACACCCATCATCCAGCACTCACACACCCATCATCCAGCACACACACACCCATCATCCAGCACACATCATCCAGCACTCACTCACACATCATCCAGCACACACACACCCATCATCCAGCACACACACATCATCCAGCACACACACACCCATCATCCAGCACACACACATCATCCAGCACTCACACACACATCATCCAGCACACACACACACATCATCCAGCACTCACACAAACACCCATCATCCAGCACACACACAAACACACATCATCCAGCACTCACACAAACACCCATCAACCAGCACTCACACACACATCATCCAGCACTCACACAAACACCCATCATCCAGCACTCACACACACATCATCCAGCACACACACACATCACCCAGCACACACACAC